TTTGACAGACAGCACGTCCACTTTTGTACAATGACTGTTGTGGCCATTTCAAGTCTAAAAGGAGGAAATAACATTGTCTTGTGAATCCCTCAAATTATATAAAGATGTACAAAGTAAGACAAACTGACCTATCCACCTACTCATTTACTCACTCATTGACCTTTACTTAGGGCCAAGAAACTGTGCCAGGTGTTAGTTAGATGTTATAAAACCAAGATTAGTAAGATTTAGTCCCTGTCTTTAAAGGGATCTAAAAACAATGGTAAAAGACATATGTAAACAATTATGTCAATGCTATAATAAATCCATCATCAAAATTGTGTAGGAACATAAAAGAATAAGCAACTATTTAAGAGGGCTCAAGAAACATTCACAAAGGAGATGACATCTAGTCTTAAAAAGTGAATAGAAATTTTTCAGGGGTAGAGGGTATAAAATCATTTCAAATAAAAGGAGCAGCTTATACAAAGTGCAGAGGCGTGTGCCCAAGGAATGGTAGGAGCTTATGAACTTTAGTGGGACTGGACTATAGGGACCATGAGGAACGACACTACAAAATGAAGCTGGAAAAGGCTGGCATGAGGCTGTAAAGGGACCATAGCCCTGTTAAGAAGCCAAACATTTAATGTGTGGGCAGCAGACAGCCAAAAACATTTTCAAGCAGGAAAGTCACATGAGAACTGTTTTGTTGGATAGTAACAGTGTAAGTTATTAATGCTAGCACTAAAAATAAAAGGGGTGAAAACTTAACCTCTCTTGAGTACCCTCTATGTATCAAGCATCTTGCTATATTATTTGACTTTCACAACAATGCTATAAAGGACTTTTTTAGACCCTTATTTTAATAGTAAAAGAAATTAAAGGCGCAAAATGCTCCATTGGGGGAATATCTCTGGATGTCTGAACTTCAGTGCCATGGGGCAGATATTCTTGTTCTCCAGGGGCCACCACCAGTTAGCAAACTGGGTTCGATGAACAATAGGCCTAATTTAGCAAAGCACTGTTTTATTCAAACGAATTAGTTATCCTCATTTTGTATACAATTAAACTAAAGTTAGAAAACATGTGCTTCTACCATGTAATGGCTCTTCATGCCTCTAATACTGGATTTGTGTAAAACAGCTGACTGTATTTGGTAAGATAGCAATATTTTATACATATACTTGCATCAGATGAACTAAATTTACCTAATCTGGTGTCCACAGCCTAAACAGAATCTTAGGAAAAACATTACATAGCAAATTAGGTCACCTACATAAACATAGGAACATATTTTTAAAATTATACCATTAAATTTACAAAGATTTTGAAAATATCTAACCACTTATTATATACAATATGAAGGTTTCAAACATAAAATCTGTCAGACATACAAATATAGTGAATTAAAAGTTTAAAAAAATACAAATCCCCAATTCTAAAAAATAACAAGAAGGATCTCAGTTTTTATGTGTTTTCTAGATCAAGTCAACATTTCTAAAGGGACTATTGCATCTGAATTATTAAAGTCTAACCAAAGATACAGGGCAAGGAGGAAGTAGTTTTGCAAGCTTACATAAAACGCGAGCTTACATAAAATGCAAGCTTGGAGTCTTACTTTTTTGTGTCTTAATACTTTCATGCAGACTATGAACTTTTGAACATTTTGCATCCTAAAATATTTAGTTCTTTGTCAGTCACTGGCAAGCTTGTGTATGCGTGGTGGTATGTGCTAAAAAGATATGCCTTAGAAAAAGATGATCCAACCTACGCTATAATGCGGTTACACACGTAGTTTCAACTGGTATATCATTCCTGTCTTCTTGAAAGATTTTTGGAAAACATAGGCAATATAACCCCACAAATGAAATGATCTAAGATTTAAAGTCAGAATTTCAGTGGACATGACAGATTCAGAATACCCTAGTAAGCCTTAAATTTCAATTAGCCCTTTTAACAGTCTTTTTCTTTAAAGCTATTATTTCGCAACTACACTAGTCATCACCCAATAGAAAAAAGTATGTCTAAAATACTTATTTAAATAAATGACTTTCAAATCTTTTAATTACAAAATACAGCATAAAATATACTTTACATGCTGACCCCAAATATGTGTTTGTATGTATATATATAAACACACTTACATACACAAGTATAAACTAAACTCACATTTTCATAACATGATACCTACCCTTAATATATTAAAATATTCTTATATTTTCTATTCTATTTCATCTGTATGAAAATACTAGCTATGACCCATTAAACTGATTTCAGGATCAACTAAGTGGGTCACAGATGACAATTTAGTGATTTTGATCTTACCCGTCCCACCCAACTATAGAAATTATTTTTAAATAACATCACTGGGAATAGCCACTCTTTGGCAATGGGGGAAGAAGGAGATAATTTTTTTTTCTTTGTTTACGTACACTAGAGCAAAGCTGTGAATTATCAAGAGAGAGAAGCCTGAAGTTCTCTTGGTGAGAGAAGTAACGCCACCAGCCTTAATGCTTTACCCAAGCCCACACTGGCCCAACAACTTGGCTTTCTAGCTTTTGCATCCCTTTGGTTGACACTGCGGTTTTCACAAGTGAATTGTGAAGAACATAACAGCCCATAAAGAGACAGCTATTACCTTCTAAATCAAAAGAACTTTTTAGTTGCATTATGAAGCCCTTGAAACTAATTATAAGACTAAGAGTAGATTCTGAGATTTTTCTTTTTTTAAATATGGCAAACTGTTAAGTAGAGTCGAATAAAAGAATTTGAGGGGTTGGGATTTATTTTACAATTTTTACAAAATAGTGTAAAATAAGTAATTTTTATATAACATAATAACTTATTAAATGTCAGTTGTAGCACCTAGAGCAAGATAAACAGCAGGAGTTCTGCAAATGTTTTCTGATTTGAGCCAAGCATCCTGATGTAATTCAATTATGACCTCACAATGGAAAATATATTTTCTTTTTATAATAGTAATGCTTTATAATGTTATATAATGTATAATGTTTTATACTGTTAGTTTTGCTCAAATTAAATTCACTTACATGTTTTGTAAAGAGCATAGTATTTTAAATACTAACCAGGTGAATCATGATTATAGTTGCACTATTTGCCTGCTTCAATTATTGTAACAAATTAGACTCAGAGAATAAAGGATTTTGTCGCCCTCTTGTGGTAATTTTGCCATAATGTATTCTCCAGGCATTCTACATAGATTGGAATTTCCTCTTTACAGTCTAATAGGCAGAGTGCTATTTTGACTATGGTTTCTGAATTTCCAAAAGCAGCACATATATTTTCTGTCCTCCACAGTACATATACTTTGTGTCCTCCCTTCAGTTTCTACCACAGAAATTTTGTCTTTTCCTCTCTCTTTTAGGAAACATTCTGTTCCTTTCCAATTACCATATCAGAAATTTTTCTGAAAGATACTTTTGGTATTCCAATGTACATAGAAAATAATTACAGCAAATCTCCATCATCATGGGTAAGATTTAAGTAAATGGAAATAATTTAAAATGTACAAGCTGAGCTGTCAGAATTTTTCCCAAGGAAACAGGTCTTGCTAGGTTAATTAACAGTCCAGAAATTTCAGAGACTAACGATATTAGTCTAAATATTTTAAGTATTCAAAAGTAATAAAGTTGTCTTTTCTTTAAAATCGTCTAGGTCATATCCAATTGGGAGCAGCAGGAGATGAAACTGTGAAGTTAGTTGGGGCCAGAATGAAAGAGCTCTTATAAATGATAAATTAAATAGAACATCTACAGCAGTAGAGTGACATGAGCAAATTAGTTTTAGAAAGATAACTTGCTGTAATATGGAGGATGGACTGGGTGACAAGGAGGTAGGGAAATTAGTTACAAGTTGTTTGCAATGACAAGGGCCTGAACTAAGGTGATGGAGAGGAGACAAATTTGAGAAATACTAAAAGTGGAATCATTAGGCATTAAGTACTGTGAGACCAGGGGGTGAGGGTGGGAGGTCTTAAGCTTCAATTACAGTTTTGGTGACTGGGTGGATGTACCATTCCAGAGCTAGGTCATGATATTTTCGGACATATTGCCTCTGAGGTGCCACCTGAAAACAGCAAGTACGTCAACAGGGTTTGCGGATGTAAAGTTCAGGAGAGAAAGGACTATTATCAGTGGCTAGATAGTAAAAGAAATATTGTTGAGAGATCATCCAAGGAGAGGGTGAAGCATGGGAAGAGGTGAAGGCTAAGTGTGGGACTGACAACATTTAAGAATAGTCCTCTTAAGAGAGGACAAAGTTTACAATGTCCTATCATTGTAAAGGCTAAGTGTGGGACTGACACCATTTAAGAATAGTCCTCTTAAGAGAGGTACTTTAGTCCTATCATTGTAAACTTTGTTTTCACACTGGAAGAAACAGATCATTCGGTCTCCTTACATTCTGCAGAGCAGAAAACTGAGGGTCAAAGAGGTTCTCTAACTTTACTTAAAGCTATTTATCTGTGGAAGTGAATGAAAACCCAGGTTTCCAGACTGACCCCAAGTTGTTCCACCCTAATCATTTAAAAGTTCTCTTTCTAGTACTGTGTCCTCTTCCTGCTTCTGACTTGTAAATGTTCAGGATGAGAAATAAAAGGTCTTTCTTCAGTAATTGTTTAATGGTAATAAATGCTTCTGTTGTTATTTTGTATAGATCATCAAAAACTAAAATGTTATTATTTTCAAGGATAAACTTCCAACAATATAGTTCGATAATAAGACCCCAAATTTATAATTCAGCACATACTTCCTTAATAATCTGGGAAACAAGGAAAAGCCTAATTCTATAATTAGGAAAAGCAAATAGCAATAGTATCAAGCACACAGAGAAAATGTTTACGAAACACTTCAGAGAGGAAAATAGCTACAGCTATCCTCTGCAGTCTGTTTAAAATCCCAGATGGTTGAGAATGGGCTTCACCAATTCTATCATATACCCCAAAACACATTTTCATAATTGCACTTAAGAAAAGCAAAATGCAAGGGAGTTCTTTGCCATACCTGCTTGGTTTGGCCGTTGCCAGCTTGGTGACTTGATGGTGCTGGTGGATCCTAGAGGCTTGAAGGCAGCAGCAGTTGTGAGACCAGCCACCCCTGGTCTGGCAGAGGCTGGGCTTCCTGGCCTCTCAGGCATGCTCCGTGCTGAAGCTACTGATGGAGCCAAATGCTGAGAAGGCTCCTGGGTGTTGCTGGAAAGAAAATAAGAAAACATTTTTGGTGAAGTGGTAGCAATTTGACCCAAGCAATGATCCTTTCTTTTCTAAATCTATTGACTCTCTAAGGAAAACAAAAATAGTAATTAATTAACTGATAGTAAAACAAACAAACAAACAAAAAACTCTAAAACTAGGACTCAGGGACTGCCTCTCTTTAAAACAGAAAAAAAAGAATAGGAAAGGAAAGGAGTCACATTACATTTGTTCAATACTTTGGAAATTCTCTTTAGAGATCTACCATGAGAAATGAGGCTACTGAAAAACTTATACAGCCAATCCTTTAAAATAAGCTCATTTCCTCTTTCTATTCCTCTCTATTCTCAACACGTTATCATCTAGATTAAAACAATTAATTACTGAAGAATCCCTGATAATTTCTATGAAATGGCACAGATATTTCTCCTTTTCCACATTCTTCTAGTATTTTATGAACTAAGTTTCTCTGACATCTCACCAGTCTCTCTTTTCGCTCACATACCCAAGTACTCTCTCATTCATTCAATAAATATTTAAGCGCCTATGCCAGCATTGTGCTATGCACTGGCCATACAGTGGTAAATAAGAGACAACATCCTCAGTCTAACAGAACTTCCACTGTTCTGTGTTCCTAATAAAGGAAAACGGGAGACAAGACTGCCCTTGTCCTCTTTCAATCAGTTATTTGTTTAACAGGAGGCTTGTCTGTGCTGGTTCCAGTTTGATTCAGAAGATCATATGGCTTTTATTACCTGGTTATTTGTTACTTATTATTATATATTATCATTTCCAAAAAAAATTTAAAGTACCTCGAATTATAAAATAAGCACTTTGGAATAACACACTACTACAGCAATTTCTCTCAATTGAAATATAATAATAATTATTATTATAACAACAACAACAATAATAACACAGCCTACTAACTTTTCAATAGAAACTGAGGTACTGGTTGCTTAAAAAATTCTATGCACAGAAACTCAATTTCTTCAATGTCTGAAAGCAACAGATCGATAAAGATAGGATACTATATTATTAATGACATCAATAAAATAAATACCATTAATTCTACTATTTAGGTTGAGATTATTTCGAGGAAAAGAAACTTCAAATTCAATCATGTCCACCATAATACCAAATGAACAAGAATACCTAATTTCTCCAACAACTCTTGAATCCTGAATAACACCTAACGAAGTAGGCCTGGGGCTGCCTAGCCTTACGATGGCCTACTTGTAAGTTGGCCTCGGATGGCATTTGGGAACTTGGCTAGTAAACAGCTCCCTACAGTCACATAAAACTTTCTCTAAAAAGACAGGAGTGGCTCACTGTGCCTAAACTATATAAACAATGTTGTTTATGCCGAAGAACTTCTTTCCTTCTGAGAGTCTGGAATTTCGGTATGAATTAGGCACAGCGTGCCTACACATAACAAGCCCCAGTAAAAACCGTGTCTTAGGTGGTTTCTAATGAGTTCTCTGGTAGAGAACACTCTGCATGTTTTGTCATAACTCACTGCTGTAGGAATGAAGCACATCCTGTGTGACTTCACTGGGAGAGGGCTTTTGGAAACTCGAGTCTCATTTTTTCCAGACTTGGTCCCATGTACCTTTTCCTCTTGATTTTGCTTTGTATTCTTTCACTGTAATAAATCTTAGTCATGAGTACAACTATATACTGAGTTCTGTAAGTCCTCTAGTGAATCATCAAACCTGGGGTAGTCTTGAGGCACCTCTGATGCTAAACAGTTTTGAAAAATCATACTAGAGCTATTTTAACTTTCTTGAAACATTTTTCCCTATTGTTATTCTTTCAAATTCAAGTGTAATAGAGCTACTACCTTCTTTTATCATCTCTAATCAGTTTAGTGAAAAACATTCTATATAACGAAAAATTTAAGCACTTTAATAATTTTTATAACAACTTAAAAGTGAAAGACTGCTTGCTTACTTAATGGCAATGCTGGACACGGTTATCGATAAACATGAGGATAAATAATATTAATGGAAACAGTGTAGGCATTATAGCATAGTGGTTATGAGCACCTTATAAAAGCTTTGTGATGGACAAATTATTTTATTTCTCTAAGCCTCAATTTTAAATGGGAATAATACTTTGCTCATAAAAGTTTCAAGAGGCTTAAGTACAATAATTATGTACAAAGTGCTTAGCGTACTCTAAGACACAATATGAACTTGACGTGTGAAAAGAATAATTAATGTATTTAAATAATAAGATCTATTTTCAATATTTTTACACATTTCAAATAAATGATTTTTTAAAATAATACATAAGTATGTCATTTTAATTCTAGGGTTAATTACTAATGTGGATTAAAAAAATAATTAATAATCATACAGTCACAATTCTGAGAAAATTTATGACCAAGCAATATTAAATGTTACAGATGAAACAAAAGCATAATCTGGAAATAACAAAACCTAAATTATCATTTAATGCTTAATGACCTAAAAGAACTGAAATTTAATTCTAGGAGAGTTGCCAGACAGAGAAAGTGACCAGGATGATAAGAAATCAATACCAAGCCTAATGAAATTTGGTTGAGGGAACTGTTAATATTGGCCCAGGATATTAAAAAAACTCATGAGAAGCATAATAGCACTCCTCAAATATGTGACAGTGAATTCACTCAACACGGCTACATTCTGTTTGCCTAAAGTTGAGTCAAATCTACAGTGAGATAGATTTGATTCAATAAAATATGGAAGTACCTCCTAATACAGAAAATCATCCAAAGGCAAAAATTTGTTCCCTAACAACATCTTTCATGAGAGGCCTGTCCAGCAGAGGATGAAAGTGCTGTGGAATGAATTTAACCAGTTAGAGGTTTGGAGGGCTAAGTCACACTTCAGCATGACATTCAGAGCCTCCTAAGATATAGCTATAGCCTACCTGTCCAATTGTATCTCCTACTTCTTTGCTATACAGACTATATTCTGGCCATGCCTCCTCCCTGTCCACAGTTCTCCATTTTTTCCAGGCTCTATATAGAAGGCTCTCCCCCCATCCCCACTCTCCTTCTGCACTGATCCAAATCCTATTCATAATTAACAACAGTATCACTAACAATAATATCCATCATGCACTGTGTATCATGCTAAGCAATAAATGCATTTTATTTAATCACTCAAATCTTCTAGAAGTATAGAAATTTCTTCCTTCAATTCATGGCACATATTAACTGCATGGCATATAGTTACATTCTGATTTGTAATAGCCAGGCTTTTTTTTTTTTTTTTAATTAAAGTAATTTCTTTATGTATCTTGTTTCCTTCATTACATTATAAACTATCTAAGATTTGGGCCTTTACTATGATGTTGGGAATATTACTTAAATTTAGCAAGTTTCCTCATTTGTAAAATGAGATAAAAATATTATCTTTATTCCAAGGTTACTGTAATGATTAAATAAAATACAATAAGGTAATACATGTAATACAAGTAAAGTACTTATCACAGTGCTGAGCGCAGAGTATATGCTCAAGAAATGATATATTTTGTAATAAATATCTAGTTCAAATATCTAGCGATAAGTACATTTACTAAATAAACACCCTTCATCTGTACTAATAATTTTAGTTCTAAATGTAATCTATGGATAGTTTTGGTTCAGAATTTTGAGATGTGACACAATCTTGTCTCCTCAACTCAATTTAAAATGACACATATATTTACTTAATATTCCCATGGAATAAGAATCTCATAAGCCAAAAAATGTTTTCATTTTTTTATTGTATCTTTTGTATATAGTCTGCATATATTTTCTCCCAAAGACCTAAGATGTTAGAATCTTAAATAGTACTCTTTAGATACAAAGGATCTGCAGTAGAGTATAACGAATTTATAAAAATCCCAAGTTATAAGCAAGAAAATTATTTCATTTGTTTGAATTCAGGATCGATCAGCAAAGTTCAATATTCTCTGGGGAAACAGATTTCTATTTACTTAAAATATTTAATGTAGTAATGAAAGAATCTTAGGGTTTATCTAGACAATCATATATCTGAATACACGATGCCTAGGTCTCTAAAAATATTCCCCTTTTCCCCTTAATTTTTAACTATTAGCTACCATTTAAAGAAAATACATATTAGGTATCATATACTAAATATTACAGAATTAATAAAGTCATTGGCCATATTATTTTATATTTGAAAATAAGATATTATTAATAATCATTAACAGCAAAATATTTTAAATTAATAACTAATTTATTAATATAGTATGGCATAATTACTTAGATTGGTATCTTATTTCTGAAATCATGATTCAAATATATTTTTTCTACATTCAAATTGTTAAAGGTATACCTAAATTTTAAACAAAATTAAAATGCTTTCAAAAGCTTCTAATGAGGAAAACAGAAAAAAATCCATAAATACCCTTGGCTAATAACTCGGAAGCTAAAAATCAAATATGGTTATTTTAACTAGCCTAGCAAATAAACAAGCACTGAAATGAAATGTTAGATTAATATGAATTCCATCTAGAGTATACCAAAGTTTTTGTTTCATATTTCAAAAACTGAAAATGGAGAAAAATACACTGATAGAACAAAGATTTCTTTTCAAAACTGAGCTAATAAAGAAAGAAAAGGAAGAAAAATTTACTTTCAGTGTCAGCTACGTGATTTATCTTGAGTTTACATTCCTTTCTCATGTTTGTTTAACTATTACAACAAATAAATTTCAGCTGCAGATTGAGAACTGTTGGAAATTTTAAGTCTATTTTCAAAGGAAAAATTCTGTTTCAAGAATACTCTTAAGGTAACTTTTATTCTAATTACATGTTTAAATTTTTTAAAAAGCCAACTAACTGCATATCACAGGTTTAATTATCAATATTTAAATTAAACAGTTTTTACACAAAGTCTTACAGAAATTGATACACTAATACACAGACTCTTAAGTAGTGGGAAAGGAATATTTCTGAAAGGGTCATAATTATAAGCAGCTTTCTATTTTAACAGATTTTCT